CATAGCAACACCCTAGCAACCACCCAGAACACCCTAGCAACAACCCAGAATCCAGCCAGAACACCCTAAAATCTGCATAGCAACACCCTAGCAACCACCCAGAACACTCAAGCAAGTGTTTGTCTATCTGCAATCTGTCTGATAGACTACATGACCTTAAAATCTTCAAACTTTAAGCTTTTAAAACTACTTCTACTATCTTCTGCTCAGGCTTTCTCAAGTTTTTTTTATCTAGTCTGGTCTATTATAATCTGATCTTTTCATTAAGGTCCATCAAGTTTAGAATGAAAAGAGAAAATGATCCAGTGAAATGAAACACCTAATTCACTGGATTCTATAAAACAGGCACTGAAACATGATTATTAAATACATAAAACATTTAATTGAATATATTGATTCTGATTCTGTTACTGTGACGTGAGACTTGAGTCAAAGCCTCCTCTCATATGTGCAGCATGTTTGGATCTGCAAAGTAAATGAATGCAGTTTGCAGCTCTTCACTCACAGCGAGAACAAACGCAGATCCATTACACCTGCAGAGAGCGGCGCCGCTCCCTTTGGGAGGAACCGGGCCAGATCTGAGGCGGATCTGAGCCGGATCAGCACTCTCTCTGGACTGTGACTCTGGCAGCTGGAGCTCTGAGCAGATGGCAGAAATGGCAGAGCACTGAGGGAGAGATGATGCTGAACGATTGGCACATGAGAGACACTTCATGATGATCATCTACACTAAACTACAGAGCCAAACTCAGCAGAGAAAGACTCTAGCAGCGTCGGGTCTGAGGGACAAACGCCAGTCGACCCACTGCCCCTCAAATGGTTGTGATCCGTCCAGCTCACACATGGATATCAGGCATCAGTCCTGAGCATAGCAACACCCTAGTGACAGCATAGCAACCGCCCTGAACACTCTAGCAACCTGGTTCAAAAGATCAACCAGTTACTAGTTTGTTGGGTTTCTGCTAAAAAGTTGCTAGGGTGTTCTGGGAACAACAACACCCTAGCAACTGCATAGCAACCAAGAACACACTAGCAACCACCCAGAACATCTTAGCAACCTAGCTGAAAAGATCAAACAGTTGCTAGTTGGTTGCAGTTGCTAGGGCATTATGGGTAGTTGGCAGCATGTTGCTATGCAGTTGATAGTGTGTTCTGGGCATAGCAACACACTAGCAACTGCATAGCAACCACTCACAACAACCTATGCCGTTTCTTTGGTTTTCTAGGTGGTGGCTAGACTGTTGCTATGCAGTTGTTATGCCCAGAACATCCTAGCAACCACACATAACACCCTAGAAACCACCACGTACACACTAGCAACCACCCAGAACACTCTAGCAAACTGGTTGAAAAGATTAAACAGTTTACCAGTTGGAAGCAGTTTCTAGGGGACGGCAACAACTGCATAGCAACCAAGTACACCCTAGTGGCATAGCAACTGCATAGCAACACCCTATTGGCTGCATAGCAACTCTCTAGCCACCCAAAAAAAAACATAAAACTGCATAGCATCCACTCACAATGCCCTAGCAACCACCCAGAACACCCTGAAAAGATCAGCCAGTTTGCTAGTTGGTTGGAGTAGTTAGGGAGCTGTGGGTTGATGCTAGGGTGTTGCTATGCAGTTGTTAGGGTTTTCTGGGCATAGCAACTGCATAGCAACACTCGAGCCGCCACCTAGAAAACCCAAGAATCCACATAGCAACCACTCATAGGACCCTAACAACCACCAAATACACCCTAGAAACCACATAGAACACCCTAGAACCACATAGCAACCACCAAGTACACTCTAGTGACCACCTAACAACCCCCCAGAACACCCTAGCAACCTGGCTGAAAAGATCAACTAGTTGATAGTTGTTGTTGTTAGGGGATTGCAGGTTGTTGCTAGGTTGTTCTGGGCATAGCAACTGCATAGCAACACCCTAGTGGCAGCATAGCAACTCTCTAGCCACCTAAAAACAACATGAAACTGCATAGCATCCACTCACAAAGTTCTAGCCACCACCCAGAACACCCTAACAACCTGGGTAAAAAGATCAACCAGTTGTTAGTTGGTTCCATGTTGTTGTTATGCAGTTGCTAGGGTGTTCTGGGCATAGCAACACCTTAGCAACTGCATAGCAACACTCTAGCCACCACCTAGAACACCCAAGAAACTGTATAGCAACCACTCACAATGCCTTAGCAACCATCCAGAATGACAATCCTGTCATCATTCACTCACTCAGTCAGATGAACCGAATTAATGTTTTTTTTTGCGGAACGTTCTACACTGATGTGGTGAGATTTCAGTGTTATGACAGAGAAGAGTGAATAACATTTAAAAGTCACAGAGGTTTGAAAAGACATATGGGCGAGTAAATGATGACAGAAACAATCCCTTTAAGAAGAGCAATTCATCTATCAGCTGATCCTCAGTATCTGCTGGGATCAGGAACGTGTTTCCACATGGACTCATGGATAATACTGAAAACACCACTCGGTCGTGTAGTTAAGCGTTAATCTCTTCAGTCTCGTTCGACCAATTATTTTGCCATTTATGAAGGGAACACCATCTGGAAGACGTGATTTACTCAAAAACCAGTACAAACAAGAAACACAACACTCACAAACACAAGAACACACACAACAAGAGGAAACTAGATGCTATTTTAAAAACTAACTATCTATCTATCTATCTATCTATCTATCTGCAATGTCCTAGCAACAACATTAGTAATGATCTTGCAACCACCCAGAACACCCTAGCAACCATTCAGAACAGAATCCCCAAGCAACTGCATAGCAACACCCTAGCAACCACCTGGGTGTTTTAGCTGGTTTCTAGGATGTTGCTATGCAGTTTCTAGGGGTTTCAGGTTCGTTGCTAGGATGTTGCTATGCAGTTGCTAGGGTGTTTTATCTATCTACCTATCTATCTGCAATGTAGCAACGACACTAGTAAGTAGTAACACCCTAGCAGCCATTCAGAATAGCCTAGCAACTACCCAGAGTACCCTAGCAACTGCATAGTTGCAAACACCTGGGTGTTCTGGTTGGTTGCTAGGGTGGTCTAGTCATAGTAACTGCATAGCAACACCCTAGCAACTGCAAAGCAATATTCTAGCTGCTACTTAGAAAACCCAAGAAACTGCATTGAAACTACTCACAACACCCAAAAACCACATAGCAAACACAAAGAACACCCTAGCAACCACCCAGAACATCATAGCAACACCCTAGTAATGAACCAGCATCCCTAGAAACTGCATAGCAACACTCTAGCAATGTCCCAGTATTCCCTCGCAACTGCATTGCAGTTCTGGGTGGTTGCTCTCCAGTTGTTAGGATTTAATTAGGAACAATTGCATTTAACTACATTTTTTACTAAAATAATTGATAAATAATTTTAATTCACTCTTTTTAATGTACATTTTCAATTAATTCGTTTTTTCACTAAATTAAAATCATTTTAAATTAATTAATTGCAATTTATTACATTATTTGTTTTATTAAATTATTACTTATTTTTTCAAAATGATTGATTTATTATTATTTATTTTATGAAATTGTGTTAAATTAAATTTTTAGTATCCATAATTCAATCAAAAATGCAAATTAACAGTTTATTACAACTGAGTCATAATAAATGACAACTAAGAATAAATAAATAAATAAAATTAAATAAAAAAATCTAACTAAAAATTATTAAATAGTGCTTCATCTCATTTGATTATTTTCTCTTTTTATTTGGATCCTGATGGACTCAAATTGAAACATCAGATGAATCAAATTCAAATCAAAGACTCAAAACAAGCACTCAATCGGAAACAACCAATAGTAAAGTAAAGTAAAGTAAAGTAAATAAATAAAATAAAAAAATAAAAATAAAAATAAAATTAATTAAAATAAAATACCTAAAACATGCAGATATGCATACAATGAGAATCCACTGGAAATAGTACACTATATAGGGTGTCCTCAGTTTACTATTGCCAACAGACTATGATGAAGACATGACTAAAAATGCAAAATAAAATAAGATCTAAATGCATGCACAGTTGCACAATATGCAGCTCCACACACATGCATGGAGAAAGCCTGTAAATAACATTTTTAATTTCAAACGGCTGAAATTAATTTCTGCGTATCAGTAAAGAGCCGAATAAAGGCCGGTTAAAGCGGCACTGGAGGACAGATGAGCACAGAGCTCTTAATCTGAGAGGTCGAGCTGATCCTCCTCCAGATTCACTCCATCGAGAAGAAACGGCAGATTTTAATGAGGCTAAGCGAAACACATCTGAGATCATCTGAAACACACACACAAAAGCAAACAACTAAACAAAACCTAGGAGACGAAGAACAGAAAGAGAGAGAGCTGCAGAAGTGAGTCAGACGATGACAAATGCACATGTGGGAGTTTTCCGTCTGGATGTAATGAAATAGTTGGTATTTGCTTCCTGAAAAAACAACATACAGTACAAGGACAAGGCTTTTACAGAAATGCTGCCGGCCGTATGAAGGGTTTGGCTGCATTAGAGCCATATGCTGTGGCTAATAACGGTCCGGCGTGTTCCTTCTCTTACTAAATTGAAGCAAACGCGGTTCAATCTGACAGAGACTCAAATCTTTCTGGAAAATGCAGTCCTATAATGGAGCAACTTTTAACATCAGCGCTGATGTCTCTCCAAACACACAAACAGTCGGAGCGTTTTCAGAGCAGTAGACGGACAGAGAAACTGTGTTTGTTGATGACATATGAATGCATTTCAGCAGAAACATCGACAGCAGCTTTCCAGAGACTGAAAAAACTGATGTTATTAGATGTTATTAGACGTAACCAGATGTTATTCAGAACGAAAAACAGAATCAAAAGAAGGACAAATCATTTGAGTAATTCTGCTGTGCCCACCACTTAATGGACCTTTGTAATAATCTTCTCCTGATCCATATTACATGTGTATTTTGTGTGCAAAAAAAGGGATAATTTATTTATTTATAGTTAGCTTTTTTTAACAGAAATAAAGGTGAAAGAAATATTTAATTAAAATTTTTTTAGATAATTTGACTTTTTGATAATTGACAAAGATGAAATAAAATATAAATAGTAGATAAAAAATGTAAACTTAAAAAAACTTTAGTTTTAAACTTTTAAAAATTTGTAAACTTTTTGAACATATTTGTAAACTTAAAAAAAAAATCTTTTTAGAATCAGGATCAGAATCTGATTATGATTCTAAAAATAATTTAAAGCTATTTAGAAATATTAGTGTTTTTTAAAGAAAACTATTATTTAAAATAATAAAAATGAATAAAAATGACAAAAAAAACTAAACTAAAACTAAATTTAAAATGAAAACTGAAAAAATAAAAATGCAAGATAATTCAAAATATAAACAAATACTATAACACAAAATAAAATAAAACAAAAAGATTTAATATTTAATACATTTATTATTTAATACTTTTTTCAACGAGTCAGCCTGCTTGAACAAATGTTATCAGGACATATAGGTTCAAAGAACAAATAATGTTTTTCTTTACTAAAAATAAACTAAAGCTATTTAGAAATATAAAAAAGGGGGAAAAATTATATAAATAAATAAATATCAATAAAATAAGCACACACAACTAAATTACTTGAAAATTACTTAAAATAACAAAAAAGAAAACAGAAACATAAAAATGAAAGATAATTC